AGCACCAACTTACACCATACACCAAAATAAATTCAAGGTGAATAAAAGACTTAAATGTAAGCCGTGACACCATTAAAGTCCTAGAGGAGAACATCAGCAAGAAAATCTCAGATATTCCACGCAGCAACATTTTTACCGATATGTCCCTTAGAGCAAGGAATATAAAGGAAAGAATAAACAAATGGGATCTCATCAAAATAAAAAGCTTCTGCATGGCTAAAGAAAACAGTATTAAATTAAAAAGATAACCAACTGTATGGGAAAACATATTTGCCAATGATACCTCAGACAAAGGTTTAATCTCCAAAATATACAAAGAACTTACACGACTCCACTCTAGGAAGACAACTAACCCAGTTAAAAAATGGGAAAAGGACTTGAACAGACACTTCTCCAAAGAGGACATACAGAATATCCAGAGACACATGAAGAGATGCTCAATATCGTAAGCTATCAGAGACATGCAAATTAAAACCACAATGAGATACCACTTTACACTAGTCAGGATGGCTATCATAAACAAAGCAACAAACAACAAATGTTGGAGAGGTTGTGGGGAAAAGGGGTCCTTAGTTCACTGTTGGTGGGATTGCAGACTGGTACAACCATTATGGAAAACAGTATGGAATTTTCTCAGAAAAATAAAAATCAACCTGCCTTTTGACCCAGCAATTCCACTGCTAGGATTATATCCCAAGAATCCTAAAACATCAATATCAAAGAACCTATGCACCACAATGTTCATAGTAGCACAATTTACAATAGCCAAGAGTTGGAAGCAACCTAGGTGCCCGTCAGTAAATGAATGGATCAAAAAATTGTGGTACATATACACAATGAAATTCTATGCAGCAGAGAGAAAGAAGGAGCTCCTACCCTTTGCAACAACATGGATGGAACTGGAAAGCATTATGCTGAGTGAAATAGGCCAGGCATTGAAAGACAAATACCATATGATCTCACCTTTAACAGGAAGCTAAACAACAAAACAAACAGGCAAGAAGAATAAAAACAAAGACACTGAAATAGAGAACAAGTGGGCAGTGACCAGAGGGGAGAGGGAAGGGAGTTTAAGGGGAAAAATGGGGAGGGATTTTGAGGAACAAGTATGAAAGACACAGGGATGGGGGGGGGAGAGGAAATGGGAGGGAGGTGGGGAGATGGGGGGGGGCTGGGATGGGAGAAATAGACAAAAAACTGTACTTGAAAAATAACTAAATAAAATTTAAAAAAAATAAAAACAGTATGAATAAAACAAAAAAAATAGGGTCGTGGAGGAAAATCTGGGTTGGGATTTAAACAGGCTGGGGACTTTTTTTTTACCACGTGGTTTGGGAGCAAAGAAGTGCTCTCTCAACTATGTGGTGTATAAAGCAAGAAAGCAGGATGCAGTGGCCATGCAGAGCTGTCCATGGGCCATGCGGTTTGAAAGGATGCAAAAGGATTCCCCAGCTCACCATAAGGATGCAGTTTTGAATTAAGAATGGGTTCCTAGCCAAGCTACAAACTTCTATTTTCTTTTCCTGAGATATGGTACCCTTGACTGGCCTGGTCTGGCAAAGGGAGGCAGGACTGTATGTGTGGGTATGTGGGTGCTTTAAAGGGATTTTGGAATTTAACGGCAACATTCCACTTCTTCTCTAAACCTGTATAACTTTTGAATAAACAGTTCCTTTCCTCTTTACCCAACTCTAGCATTGAAAGCCACAATTCCTACCAGTGGTGGGCAAAAAGAATTAAGTAATAAGACCCCCAGGGGAGGCAGTGGGTGGTGGCTGGTGTTGGTTCTATAACAGTATCTGGAGCCCAACATGAGGCAGAGAATTGCCTGTAGCAGACTGACCTCCTCAGGTGTGGGTAAGTAAGACTAAGGTAACGAGATTGCCTGGGAGGCGAGGGGTGGGGGGTGGCGTTTCCTGTAATAGGAGCAAAACAACACTGTCTTGCTTCCATTGAGAATAAGCATGTACATCACATTCCAGTCAGGAACACAAAGCAGAAAAAACACTTTGCACCCTGAGATAAACCAAAGACAACTGTCTTGGTCTGGTCTACCAAGTAAATCATACTTTGAACATTTCCTATAAATTCTACTGTCTGGAAATAAGACTTTAGTGAATAAGATAATAAATAGAGAAAAACTCTTCCACCATGAATGTACTAATGTAAAGCTGGTACTCTTGGTAATAATGCAGGGTTTGTTTGTTTTTTCATTTAAATATGTGTTTTGTTTTATCTGGCCAGGCAGTCCTTATGAGGGCTGATTCCTTCACACCCCTTTGGCAAGTGAATTACTTTTTTGCATGTTTTCCTTTCATATGAGCAAATTGAAAGCTTTGAAAATTCCTGTAGTAAAGAAATTTTCATTTAGTATTTCCCAAATTTATTTAGAGGCCATACAGTCTACAAGAACACAAACTACGATGCCACAGCTCTGCCACCTGGAAGCTGAATGACATCGGGCAATCACTTTAATGCTAGGGCTCAGTTTCATGATTTATAGAATAGTCCTGACTGGTGGATTACAAGCAATATCGCTGGTAGAGCAACCAGCACATTGTAAGCCACGCCCCCCCAATTGGTTTGTACTTAAATAGAAGTGACCCCTCCCCAACATTCCAACCCAGTCTTAGTTTATATGTAACAACATCCTGTAGAACACCCCTGTTTGGGAAATGCAGATTAAACCTTTTAGGTCAGACTAACTCCTAGCGCAGGAGGCTGATTTAAGTTCTTGTTCCTGCAGTTTAGATGTGAAGTTAGGGGTAAGTCTCAAGTCTTTCTGACTATAAGATTCCCATATATGTGAAAATGGATACTACACAGAGTTGAAATTCGATTAGAAAGCATTATATAAATGTGCACTGTTTTGTGGACCATCTTAGGAGGAATAGCCAGAATCTGCTCCAGTCTACAATAACTAAGAAATTGCTCCAACAGGGCCCTGGCTGATGTGGCTCAGTTGGCTGGAGCATCCTCCAGTGAACCAAAAGGTCACAGGTTAGATTTCCAGTCAGGGTATTTACCTAGGTTGTGGGTTCCATCCCTGGTTGAGGTGCATATGAAAGGCAACCAACTGATATTTCTCTCACACCATTGTTTCTCTGACTCTCTCTCCCTTCCCCTCTAAAATCAAGGAGCATGTTGTTGGGTGAGAATAAGAAAAATAAAAAATAAAAATAAATGAGGTGATTAAAAAAATTTTTAAATTGTATTTATTTCCATTACCAATTAACCCCCTTATACCTCCCTCCCCCCAAAGGTAATTTTTTTTGAAGAAATAGTTCCAAGAGGGGTTTAGATAAAACATATAAGTGAAGCCACTTTAAAATGGAGTTGGAGCTGCCATTCCAGAGGAATTGCCTTGCAGGTCTTATGACTCAAGCCTTTGTAATGTTAAAACAGGGCAAAAGAACCTTTACTGGGCCTAAAGCAACACTGAGTCCCAAAGACATTTACAAGGATAACAAGAAAGCAGATATGACTATGGACTTAACAGTGTTTTCAACACTGTTTAGAACTAGCATCACTAGCTTATCTGCATCAACAAAAATGCCTTCCTCCTATAGATGTAATTGTTCTCCTTCCTTTTCTCCTAAATATCCCTTGTCTTTGTCTCCTAAATGAAACATTATTTGAATCGGTGGTTCCCGAATGGCAATCCTTTTTTTCAATTTCAAATGCTTATTGCCTCTCACTCTGAAAGGCCTTGTAATTTTAGTTTAACACGGGAAACTATATAAAAATAAAAACAAACACACATATCTTCACAAAAGACTTTCCAGGTCAAGTAACCTCTTACAAGTCTTTCCTATAGACACCAAGTGCACATTTCTGGCAACGGCTTAACCTAAGTCACATGGGCCTTGGATAAAAATTGATTGAACAGTTAATATACAGTAATGCTAACAGAAAACCTTTTACATAGTCACTTCTAAATTATTCAACCTAATGAAGAGAAATAACAACAAATGATACTTAAATGAATAAACTATTACATAATCAAGCTAACTTTTATTTTTAAGGCAACGTTTCACCAAACGGGTTTAACTGAAACCAATTATTAAAATAAAATTTGTACTTTCCCAGTATCCATTCAGTAAGACTAGGATCCCAATACAGGTAAGCCACAAATTTACCAAGGAACGAGGGTGTTACACAACCAAGCTATTTCTATTTCACAGGAGCAGTCAGTTGTAGTCATCCGGTTCTGAACCTTCTACAAGCATCCATCCATTACCGTCCTATTTTTCCACGTAAATTGGTGTCTCCGTAAAGTATGAGTAGCAGCACCCTATTTCAGTCTGTTTCCTGCACTGTAAATGGGAATTACATCTGCCTAATTGTGTCATTGTGAAGTCTAGAGACAATAAATATAAATGGCTTGGCAATATACGGAGCACTTAAACTTTCGGTAAATCCTACCTGCCATTATTTTCCTCAAAACAATGCTTACTTGCTTATTCTCTGTAAGTTTAGTTACATAGGAGTCCTTCAAACTCTGAGAAAACTGAGGCCCTTTTCGGGCCTCAGCTTCTTTGAGGCCCTCATCATCGATTAACAACCTACTCCTGCGTCGCATCTCCGTTTGTAAACGTCCTTTCAATGTACCCTTACTCAACTCCAAATCTCCTTTTTCCTGCTCAACCGTACCTACCAAGAGCCCTTCTCCAAGGGCCTCAGCACCCTGCACGGCCCTGTCTAGCACGTCCTTCCAACCCACAGGGACCACACTTCAAACTCCCAGCACAGCCCCTGCGCTTGACTCATCCAGGGTCTGGGGCGTTAAAACACGGCCACACACCACCGGTCCCCGGCTCTGGCCGCCACGCTAGCTCCACCTTGAAAAGCCACACCGCGAACGACCGAACCACCTTCCATGAATCCGCTCCAGCCTCAGTTTCCCTGGCGGTAACACTGAACGCACGGTTCGCCCAGAGCCCAGGGGAGAGGCCCCAAATGGCCCGGTGCTCCTGGACCCCGCGGAACCGCACACTAACCTGCAAGTAACCTGCTTGGTGCTCATGGTGGCAGGGCTACCGGGCCGGGGTCCAGCCGCAATGTCGCGCTCTCACCGCAGCCTCCCGCGCTCACCGCCTCCGCGTTGCCTCGGCCCCGCCCCTCCCCCCTGAACGCGTCACGCCGGCGCACACCGCCCCCCTCGCGTGTGGCACCTTTGTAGCGCCGGCCGGAAACCTCGCCGCCGTCACAATTGGTTCCGCCCTGGAGTTGAGGTGGGGCGACCCCCAATCCCCAAACTCCTTGTTTTGTATTTCCAAGCCTCGTGAGCAGGGCGTAGTTACCACCTGCCAGCCAGTTCTATCCCTTTGTCCTGCCAACTGGTAAGTTCCTACGGGTCTGCTTATCTTCAAGAGCATTCCTTAGCGACGTCTCGCACCCCTACAATCACTTCACCCTTCCTGAGGCTAAGCTCCTGCCCGTGCTTCTGCGCATCTTTTTTTTTTTCTCCAGATCTGAAAATGTTTTTAGAAAATGGACTCCAGGAAGTTTAAAAAGCATTACCAGAAGGTGTAAATGCAGAATTGGATGTAGTCATTCAAAGAATTCAAATAAGAATATGGCAATATAAATATTTGAAAAGCATCTATTAGGTGTTCAAAACAAAATGTTTAAGTCATTCCTAATTTGAACATTTGAGCATTTTCTAGACAGGAGAAAAACAGTTGACATTTTAAAGTCCTGAAAGCTTTTTTGGTGGTTAATAACATTAGATGGTTTGCACATCTTGATTCCAAATACTCAACCTACACTCCCTGGGCCCCTTTCTCGGGCCCTGTCACAACTGTTGTCGCCAGACCTCGCCTCTCAAGTAAGGAATTCTTTAATCCTCTCCCAATTGCTAGTTTTACAAAATCTCCACTTCTATCCCAACTTTCAATCATTTTCTTCCGGGCATTCCTTTACTGTTTGTCTTCCATTTCTTGTGTTGGAAATCAAAAGATATTCTTGACTCTTTCCTCAGGTTCTCTATATCCTGCAGATCCTGCTCTCCAATGCATCCTGTTATCTCCACTTCTACCTTCACGGATCCAGTCTAAACAACCATCATTCCTTGAGTGGGCCCATGCAATGAATGGCCTCTTAATTGCTCTTCTGGCTTCTGCCCTCTTCTAATCTGTTGTTACCCAAAACGTATTTTTAAAACGTACATCGGATCGTGTAATTAACCTCCTTTAACCTTTTTAATGGTTTTCCATTGCTATTTATTGTAAAAAATTCTTTTTAAAATTGTAAATGTAACTATTAAGTTATAGTTATTAACTAGAGCAAAGTGCACAGAACATCTATATACACTCATGAAATCACCACCCAGATCAAAGATCATTATCAGTACCCCAGAGAACTCCCTTATGCCCCTTCCCAATCAATATCTCCCAAAGAAAACTGTTATTCTCCTGTCATCACAAATTAGATTGTTCTTGACCTTGATATAAGTGAAATAATTCAGTATGTACTCTTTGCCCTCTTTTGACCAACATTATATCTGTGGGATCTATTCATGCTGTAAGAACAAGTTATAGCTGTGAGTGTTGATCCATACATATTGTGTAGAACAACACTTGTATGTTGTTCTTTCTTTTACTTTGATGTAAAATGTCTTCCAGTGAATGAGCACAGTATATACTTGCAGTTAGAACTTTTGAAATTTCTCTCACAAATTTAGGAAATACATTGGAAAATTTGTAGTTTTCAGTATATAGGCCTTTTGACAACTTTTATTAGAAGCATTCCTGGATATCTAGTTGGTTTTTTGGATGTTATTTTAAATGATATTTTTAAGAATGTCCTAATTGTCAGTTGTTTCATGCTAAATTCATGTATTAATTCTAATGTTTCATTTGTTGCTTGTTTTGAATTTTCTTCACACACAGTCATGCCATCAGCAAATAATGACAGCTTTACTTCATTTTCAATCTGTATATCCTTGTTTCCTTTTTCTTGTCTTAAAGCACTACGGAGAACCTTCAGTGTAACCTTACATAGAAGTGGTAATAGTGGACATGCCAGTCTTGTTTCTGAATTCAGGGAAATTATTGAATATTTCACCAGTAATTTGAAAAGTTAGCTCTAGGGTGTTTGAAACTATCCATTATCAAATTAAGGAAGTTTCTTTCTCTCCCAAGTTTAATTCTTCTCTTTCCCATCTATTAAGAAAACTGTACTACTTTATTCTGCTAGTGTGTTGAATTATATTATTAATTTTTTAATGTTAAATCAGCCTTGAATTCCTCAGATATACCCCATTTGGCATGATGATTATTCTTCCTATAAATCATTAGATTCTATCTGTTAATAATTGTGTTTAGGCTTTCTGCATCCTTGTTCATGAGAGAGAGTGGTTTGCAGTGTTCCTTCATTGTAATGTTTGTGTCAGGTTTTGGTGTCTGAGTTACACATAAAATGAGTTGAGACATCTTCCTTCTTTTCTATTCTATGGAAAAGTCTGTGTAATGTAGGTGTTGGTTTTTTCCTAAATGTCTGGAAAAATTTACCACCGAAGCCACCTCAGCCTGCAATTTACTTTGGCTTTGTTCATTGTCTGCATTATACACGTGATTTTACAGATTTCTGTTCTTATCTTTACTACCTCCTGTTTCTATTTTTTTTCTAGTTCAAATTGTTCTTGTTTTCTGGCTTATTTAGATAGAAATTTAAAACACTAATGGTCAAGCATTCTTCTTTTTTAAGTATTTAAAGCTAAAACTTCCCCTCTAAGCTTCTTCTAGTTCTGTGCCCCAAGTTTTTATGTCATTACCATTTGATTTGAAATATTTTCCAATTTCCATTCTTTGACCAATTAGTTATTTAGAAATGTGCTGCTTAATTTCCAAACTACTGAGGATTTTCTAATTAAGGTTTTTCTTACTGATTTTTTTTTTTATTTCTAGCATAATCCCACCGTGGAGCTGTCTATTCTTTTAGTTTGGTCAACATTTGATTTATGTATTATGAAGCTTGTATTTTTAGGTTCAAATAAATGTAAGAGTGCTCTCTTCTATTTTGTCAACACATTGTGACTAAGAAGTGTCCCTCTTTATGCTAGTTGCCATGTGGTTCTGGACTGTGTGATATCAGTGAAAGAATGTATTCATCTCACTATTGAGCACACAATACACTAGGTAAAGACATGGGTACAAAAAATATTTCGAAGAATGCTTGCTGTTCACTGCATCAGGGCCCCGTTTTCAGGGGAAGAAAGTGTTGACCCCAGACAGCGTGTTGCACGTGGAAGATGTGAGAGAGCTGGTGCAAAAAGGAAATGTCTAGATTTTTTTCTTCTATGAAAGTGTAGTTTGTCTGATAATAATATAGTTATATCAGCTTTCCTTCAGGTATATTTTTCCAACTTTTTCTTTTGAATTTACCTGGTATTTTTATATTTAATCTGTATCTCTTGTAAATGGCATATAGCTCATTGATTTTAAAACAGTCTCAGAACCCCTTACACCCTCTCCCAGTTAGTAACCCCTAGCTGGGGTAACCACTATCCTTATTTTTACTGTGCTGTTAGTTTTTTTATGGGCAAGATTATGTCTACAATATAAAACATCAAAGGAGAAAGAGCCTCAGGGTGAGAATTTACTTATTCAAAGCCGAAAAGAAATAACCTTTTTTAGAAACACAAAACAAATACCTGTAGGTCCCTAATTTCAAGAAGCTCACAGACTTATGACTAATTAAAGAACAGAGCTCTGGTAGAAACATGAATCCGGCGCTGCCAGAGCCAGGGAACGCTCCGGGGCGGGGGGGGGGGGGGGGGAGCGGAGAAAGATTTCAAAGAAACGTAGGGATTTTAAGGATGAGTAGGAGCTGATTGCCAACAGGTGAAAAATACACAAGATTAGAAAAAAAATTGTAAGCAAGCACAAATGAAAAGGAAAATGAAAGCTCTTTAGGACACTAATTTATGGCATAGCCTACTGGTTAATTCTACCCGATTTGGCTTCTGAGGCCGTCGATCAGAATGACGTCATTGCCGATCGGGTTACTCCGGCTGCGTGAATTTGCTAACAGGGCAACCAGGAAGTCTGGGGAAACCGCCCCTGGTTGCCCCCAGGAGGGGAAAGCCATGCAATGCGCAGAGGCTGGAAAGCCTATAATTAAAGTCAATCACTGTAAAAAATACATCTACAGCTTCAGTGTGCCGCGGTGCTGCCCCCTCTGCCGGCAGGACGTGGGCTCGAGGAAACTGGAGGAAGCACCTGTTAGCATCTCTAATCCATTTACCAATGGACATCAAGAAAAATGTTCATTCCTGCTCAGACCAACTCAAGGGACGTTTCTGAGGTACAGTGTTTTCTGTTACCTTGAATTGTACAAACTTTTCCTTCTGCATTATACATGTCATTTTACAGATTTCTGTTCTTATCTTTACTATCTCCTTTTTCTATTTTTTTCAGTTCAAATTGTTCTTGTTTCCTTCTGTGTTGTAATCACTAAAATCTTCTTTACAGTGTGAATGCGGTGTGATAGATAATTCTTTCCAGTACTTTAGCATTAAATTTTAAACTGTAAGCCTATTTATTTTATAAGAATAGAGGGTGTGCATACTTTCCTGGAATAAGTGCACAAATATATAAGGGTCAAAACTACTTATACAATTTAAAAAGATTTTATTTATTTATTTTTAGAGAGATGGGGAGGGAGGGAGAAAGGGAGAGAAGCATTGATGGGTTGCCTCTCCTACACACCCCCATGGGGACTGTACCCCGCAGCCCAGGCGTGTGCCCTGACCTGAATCAAAGGGCGACCTTTTGCTTTGTGGGAAGATGCCAAACCAACTGAGCCACACTGGTTGGGGCAAACCTACTTATAGAATTTTCTTTTTTAAAAAAATATATTTTATTGGTTATGCCGTTACAGTTGTCCTATTCCCCCTTTCATTCCCTCCACCCTGCACACCCTTCCGCCACCATTCCCCTACTTACAGATTTTAAGAGAGAAAAATCCATAGTCTGGAGACTGTTTTACCCATAGATTTTTAGCTAAGAGGCTGATTGAAAAAATGACCCAGCAGCTAATCTTATCAAAAATAATATTTTTATTGTTAGTTTGCAATTTCTGTGACAACCAGGTACAATGTACAGAGCCTGAAGAATTGCCAGTTATAGGCTTTTTCATGGAGGTGAATTAAATTGAAGATTGGCCCTGCACAAGCCACGCTGTGAGGGCACAGGGGTGGTACTCGGTGATGGCGTGTGCTTTGGGAAGCAGGTCCAGGTGCGTCACCCACGCTGAGAACTCCTTGCCCCCTTGAAACCCACCCTCCCAACTCTCATGCCCTCAAGGGTGCCTGGGATGGGAAAATTAGAGTTGACTATTCACTTCCTGCTAACCAACTTTAACTGATTTCTGTCCCTACGAAGCTGAAACCAACCAAAGTGTGTAAAAGGTGTTGCGCCAAGCTGTTTAATAAGAGCCTCTTATTCATGATAACTCAAAGTCATTAACTGGTTGGACTCCAAAAGCTTTGGAATAAAGTCTTTAAAGTTCGGAACTCATCTGCCATAGCAGGTTCATTCAGGAAATCCGCACTGAGCAGCACTGTGTGGGAAACTCTAGGGATGTCACTGTGAACAAGCCACAGCCCTGCACCAAAGAAACAACATATGCCGACTTTCGGGTTGGCCCCTAGTAAGATTTCCTTATTCTGTGATGTGGTGGTGGTGATGACAGACCCGGCTTCTCTGGGCATCGGTAGAAGTGAGGTGGTGGCGTTGAAATGAGTCGCGTATGTTTTGGCATCCCTCCCATCCCCTTAACCCTTCAGGCAGGATCTGCAGAGTCCTTAAGTAGCCTCCTGCCCAAAAGACCCTCTAAGGCCAAGTTCTAAACTATTTCCTTCCTTGTCATCCAGCTTCTAAACCCTCAGGACTGACTCCCACAATTCACCTTGAGACGATTTCACCTACTTTGGAAAAGGGAACCAGCAGCCGCCCAAAGGAATCACTGAGGCTCTGATCTAACTAGGGTGGGATCCCTCAGGGCGCCCACATGGCTGTGCCGGTTGTGAACCATGCAAAGGCACCTGGCCAAGGTGGTGGTGAGTGCTGAAACTCAGTCCACATTCCACTCACCAGGCCAAGCACCTGGGCACAGCTGCATCTGCAGGAAGAAGTGGCCCCTTTTCTTACTTCGTACAGAGGTCTTATAAAGGAGAGGCGTGGCCCTCCCCCACCCCATCACATGCATGTGCAGCATTCTGTATATGTTTTTCTCTTCACGGCACATACCAATCTATTAAAAGCTTGCGGAACTGAAGCTAAAACGTCTTCTCTGGAACTGAGAAAACTCCATGAGGGCAGAGACCTGGTCTTATTTTCTGTGTCATTAGTCCTTCACGTCAAACAACAAGCCCATAGATTGTAACTGTTAGATATCTGTTGCAAGACTGAGAAATAACTGAAGGAGGGCGTCAGGGAGGAAATGCCTAGGATTTAGGCAGGAAACCAAGAGCAGCCATGTGCTCAGGGGGATGCAGGCTGTCACCAGCCACCCAAGTCTTCCTGTGTGAACCCCCCAGGGTCTCCACTCAAAAGTGGCTCCAACAAGATGACCCTGAGGGGCAGGGAGATTGCTCTGAAGAAGGCAGGGCAGCCATTTGTGCCCTCAGTCATTTTAAAACCTGCAACTGCTTGCTTTACTGAGGAACCAAATATCCAGACCTGTGGTCTGATAAAGGACCTTCATCATTTGAAAAGAACCTCTGATTTATTCAACACCTCTACGTGGCAGGCACTCAATAGACATTTTATTCTTACAATCAGCTCACTAGAAGGCTTATGATATTTCCATTTTCCTCTCAGAGGAAACAGATCAGAGAGAATAAGTGACTTGCTCAAAGTCCCAGGGTTAGTAAGTAATGGCCTGGGACTGTATATGCAAGTTAACTTTTATGGACTTATACATCTAATACCCAGTCTCGGGTAAATAATAATTCCAGGAAACAAGGGCTGTCCAAGAGAAGTGGGTGTGGGACAGGCTATGAGACCAAAATGGGCTATACTCGTTTTGAAGGTAGAGGTCTACTGAAATGCATTCAGGGTTCTCTCGCCCACTGAGAAACAGACCCACTGAGTCTGCCTGAGGAACAAGCTGCCGCCTCATGTAAAAGGAGGAAATGGGAGCTCCTTCAATGGCTGACCTCTGGGTGGGCGCCTGTGCTGGGGCTGGCCTTCTAGCACATTTCACCTCTAGTACTGGGGTGGGGGTGGAGCGACAAAATCCAGATGGAGGGCAGGCGGAGAGTTTAGATCTCAAATGTAGTCTTGGCCTAACCACTTTTGAAACAGAGCTTTCACTGACCTGGACACTGATGGTGAGTCTGGCCCCAGCCAAGAAGAGGAGAGTGATGGCCCCAGACCATCATCACTCTCCACTACCAATTCTTCATGCCAGACACAGGCAAACGAGAAAAACGTACTGCTTTCTTTCAGGGAGTATGACGGAAGGTCTGATCTTCATGTCGGAATAACCAACACAAATGGTGAGTGCATTATCATTTTTATTTTTTAGCTTAAAAAGTCCCCAAAGTACCCAGAGGAGAGCAGTATTTCTAAAGAAAATGTGATCGTGCAACATTTAAATGTAATTCCTTCAGGCCCTGGGCTCTCCTGTGCACCAATGGGATGAGCGATGCTACTTCCCCTCCCCCTCAAATGAGAAATAACTTGACTTTATGGCAAAGGATCACTAACAGTGCGAAGTATTTGAAACACACTTGAATGTTTTCTCAGCCAAGAGTGACAGAAACTGTTTACCTTTTTGTTGGTATTTAGAAGAATTAGAAACAGAGCCCCGCCCCAGTAGTTCGGTTGCTTTGAGCCAAGGCTGAGTGTCTGATCCCCGGTCAGGCCACATGCAAGAGTCAACCAATGAATGCACACGCAAGTGGAACAACAAATGGATGTGTTTTTTTTCTCTCTAAAACCAACGTTTAAAAACAAATAGGAAAAAGTAGAATTTTGGAGAGACTGCGTTGCCCAGGATCTCATCTTGTATGGCAACCAGAATCGACCCAGGCCCTCTGCTCCCCAATCCTGTACTCACTCAGCCCACTGCTATTGGGTCCTCACACTCCAGGGTCTCCAGGGTTTAGGCAGGAATCTCAGGGAGAGGTCAGGGGGCACATCTGAGTAGGTGGTGGGGCCTACTGTGGTTTGCTTTAAAAAACAGTAATAAAAAGGAAGCATGTTTAAATAAAACAGTTCCTTTGGCCAGATTTTGCTCTGAGGGCATGGAGTCTGCAACGCCTGAACCCAGGATGCCCTTGTCTACAGGAAAAGGGCCTGGTTGGCCACTTGAAGGGAACGGCAGGCCTGGGCATGGTGAGCAAGGCCAGCTTGTGAAGCTTTCCTCACCTGCGCCCCTCCCAAGGCAGGACAGATGCTGTGAACAGAAACCTGGGACTGTTTTTGAACTCAGAGTTACTCATATGAGCAGTAAAATTCACCATCAATCTGATCACTGGAAATTTATTGCTGATTTAAGGGAACAAGGTAGGCAATTTGTAAATAGAGAACTTCAACAAGAGTATTTGGAGGTAACTGTCCTGGTGCCTACTGTTGTCTGTTTCCGGGTGACTTCAGAGTGCTGAAGGGCTGGCGGAGCAAGAAGTGGGTTGCCCTGAAGGAATCACTTTGCAGAGAACAGGGGAGGAGGGAGCTCCACAGCCAATCCTTAACTCCAGAGAGGACCCTCTCTCAATCTCCTAGGTGGCTGCTTCTTGCATTGATGATCCTGGAGGAAGGAGGTTATAGAGCCTCTAATGACCTACTGCTAACTGGCAATAATCAGAAAGTGCAACCTCAGTTTCCGATGTGTAAAGTTACCGCGTGGCTCCTGTTGTTTTCTGACATCCTCTTTTCAAAGAGGTGCATTCCCCCTCAAGCTTCTGGTTTTGGTTTCAGGAATTGTCTATAATTACACCATGCATGGTGTCCAGCGAGATGAAGTGGGTTGGGAGCAGAGTGTAAGTATCCCACTACTGCAGCCTGGCATGTTTGGATTGATGGACCAGTGGGACAAGTACCTGGAAGACTTCTCCACTACAGGGGCCTGGCTGCCCCACAGGTACGAGGCTGCACGGACCATTTGCTCCCTGACCTTCATTTGCCATGCAAGTGTGATCTCAGCTTGTAGAGGACTCTAAGCTGTGTATAGTTAAGCCTATACCAAGATAGTAGTACGCCTGTAACAGAATTTTTTTTAAAGATTTTATTTATTTATCTTTAGAGGGGAAGGAGAGAGGGAGAGAAACATCGATGTATGGCTGCCTCTAGTGCTTCCCCCCCCCCGGGAAATAGCATGTAGGGAACTGGCCTGCAACCCAGGCATGTGCCCTGACTCGGAATCGAACCGCGATCCTCCGGTTCGCAGGCCTGTGCTCAATCCACTGAGCTACACCAGCCAGGGCCTATAACAGAATTTAAGCAGGGGTCGATTTACTTTGGGGTTTCTGAAGAGGTAGACCAGCATAAATTACACAAAGAATCAGAGCACTGTAAGAATGGAAAGGACCAAAATTTGGAACTCCAGTTATTTTAATTATTTGGGTATTTTTACGTATTTAATATTTAAAAATAATATGTACAGAAAAAGCCATGATATTATGTTCCCTAAAACAAAAAAATTTTAGCCCTGACTGGTGTGGATCAGTCAGTGGCTTGGGCGTCATCCCACAAACTGAACCCAGGTGGATTCCTGGTCAGGGCACGTGCTTGGGAAGCAGGCCAGACCCTGGGCTGGGGGTGTGCGAGAGGCAACCTATTGACTTTTCTCTCACACATTGATCTTTCTTTCCCTCTCTGTCTCCCTTCTCCTCTAAAAAAAATAAATAAAATCTTTAAAAATTTTTAAATGATATTCAAAGTTTATTAATATTTTAAGTTCTTTTTTGGTTTGGTTTTAGCAATTGTGAAATTGATTTCTCAATTCCTTGTTTCTGTAACACTTCAGATAGAAAGCGTACTTGTCAATTTAAATTCTTTTTAAGATACCCTTGAAACAAATTTAGACACTGTGGAATATCCTAACATTTAAGATATTAAATTATACTTCAAGAATCTAGAATTTCAGTGAAATTAAGGCCCCAAAGTTGGGGTTTATATGCACCTTAACTCACCACTCTGAACACTGAGCTGAGTCCCATCTGTACCTAAGTTGCAAGCAGAAATAACCCAGCACACCACACGTTCCTTCCTGCGCAGGGCAGGCCCAGCTTGCTGAGTGAGATCAATTTCCATTAAGAAAGGCCTTCAGCTGTTTCTGAGCCTGTTCCTGAGCAGCTTTTAAAGCTCAGTCTTCTCTTTTCCATGCCCTTGTTTCGAAGGTATCAAGAAGACTGCCACAACTGCTACAGTTATACCCTCACATTCATTAACTGCATTCTGGCAACAGAAGGCAAGGAGCAACTGGACAAAAATGAGTTCACAGAGAAATTCGTGGTCCCCAGGACCAGGAAGGCTTCCAAGTACATCACACTGTACCGGGCGATAGAAGAGCACGGCTTCTATGTGATTGACCACCCGGATCAAAAGCCAGGCCCTCCTCCAGGAAGTGTTTTGTGCTGAGTGTGCTGTGTAAGAGCAGAAGGGGCAGGGCCTTTGGGGGGTTACTACTTTTAACAGATACAAGGGATTTCTAAACACTTAAACTGTGGTTAATAAAAATATAGGTGATAAAATAGGTAGTAAAAATGGCTTTCTTTTAAGCATACCTCAGTTTACTGCAGTATAAGAATTTACAAAATTAATACAAAAAATTGTCCTGGGTTTTCAAAATTGTTTTTATTACAACTAAGTTCTTTTCATAGCAGTTTGGTTTTCAAACTGAGAATATGTGTTAAAACATAAAGTGGCAGCATCTTTTCTTCACAGAACAATGAAAAGTCTTCCCATAACTTAATTAGAGCTGGATAAATCCACCTTTCAATGCGAACCCAGAAGGTGGAGGGATTTGTAGGAAGGTGAGCAATACAGCTACAATTTACAAAGTCATGACTATTTTCATCTCACTGTTTTTCTTTAAACAGCATATGGTAGCCTCTTGATGGTCAACAATAGGGGAAAAAGAAAAAGGAAAGAAAGAAAAGGTCTCAGAACCTAAGTCAGGAAACGGGCACTGCCGCATTGGCCCCCCTCACCCACACGCACACGCTGCACACGCCGCACTGGCAAGTCCTGGGAAGTGGAACCCTGGTCTGTTCCCTCCTCATTTTGCCTGATCTGACAAGATCACTAGTGTGGGGGAGGGGAAGGGGCGGCAGCAGCTGGGTTTATGACAGCACCTTCTCTTCCCCCTTTAAATGCAGACTTCAAAAAGGACTCAGTCAAGAGCTGTCTTGTTGTTTCTCTAATACTCAGAAGAATGGGGAAAACTAGGATGAGCAACTAAAAAAAATGAGGTGATTTTAACAAGCATATTAGAATTTGTATATCCAAATAATCATCAAATCATTTAAGCAGCCAGTCAGCAAAACATTCCAGAATCCCTCTTTGGAACCTGCTTCCAGAAATCCCTTTGTTTTTGGCGGAATGTGATTCAGGACTCCACCTAATCTTATTCTCTGGCCTGGTCACCAAGTGATGTCTATCTTCCGAAAACCAAATCCATCCTCAAGGAACTCAACTTCAAAGGAACGAACCCATTTTCAGTTATTGATACTTTCATCAAAGTATCAATAATTACTCAGTAATACAGATATTCAGAAAATTTGCTACAGATCCTTAAAGCTTGTTTCCAAAAAAGTGTTTGGTAGATATCTCAGCACTGACAACTTCAGTGGGAAGAAATGCAGGGCACACCAATGTCTGTACTTGTAAGTTCTGGTGCTTTCTTTTTTCTTTTGAAAAAATTTCTAAAAGATATTTATTTTTAGAGAGAGGGGAAGGGAGGGAGAAAGAGAGAGAGAGAGAGAAACATCAATGTGGGAGAGACCCATTGATCAGTCGCCTCTCACACACCTGAGGCCAGGTAGGTGCCTGGCCCGCAACCCAGGCATGTGCCATGACAGGGACTCGAACCAGTGACCTTTTGGTTTGCAGGCTGGTGCTCAGTCCACTGAGCCACATCAGCTAGGGCTGGTACTTTTAAGAAAAACAAAACTTCCCATGCAGAATGTGATACCACTTTGAACAGGACTGTGATTACTAGTACTTCCGCCAAGATGGAGGCATAGGTGGAGAAACCGTGCCTTCTCTCACAACAAAGTTTAGAGACAACAAAATATCAGCAACAGAAAACACAGCCAGAACACAGAAAATTGAACTTTTCGGAAGTCTGATAACAACGAATTCTTCAGCCTGACCGGTAAGAGGGGTGAAGCCAGCAGCTGGCGGAGCAGGGTTGCACAGGAAAACTCGGTCAGACGGACTCAGGTGCGCAGATCCCAGGCGTGGGGTTGTAAAGGGCAGACCCAGTGAGTGACCCAGGGAGCGACCCAGCGAGCGAACGGTGGATCTGGCGAGGGTGAAGGGCAGTGGGTTGACTGTGCTGGCACATTCCTGCGCAGATAGACTGGCCAGGGAGTGGGCAGTGAGACAGGACCCAGCAGGCCCCAGCGGCGGAGGCGACAGAGGGGGCCGCCATTTCCCCACTCTGACCCCGCCCCCACATACAGCAAGCATCACAACCCAGCGACCTGAGTAGTCCTGCCCTGGTGAACACCTAAGGCTCTGCTCCTCATGCTTAACGGGCATGAACAGACCAAAAATGGCTCAGGAAGATCTCAAAGCCCCAGAGCCCGTAACTCTATGCGATGAAGAAATAGCAAAACTTTCAGATGCACAGTTCAAAACACTGGTGATCAGGATGCTCACAGAACTGGTTGATTTTACTCACAAATTAGAGGAACATATGAAGGCTAAACTAATTGAAATGAAGGGAATTGCACAGGAAACCAATAGTGATGGAAAGGAAACTGGGACTCAAATCAAGGGAGTGGACCAGAAGGAAGGAAAAAATGACCAAACAGGAAAATATGAAGAAACAAGAATTCAAAAAAATGAGGAGAGACTTCGGAACCTCCAGGACGTCTTTAAACACTCCAACATCCGAATTATAGGGGTACCAGAAGGGGGAAAGGAACAGCCACCAGTGGAAAACTTATTTGAACAAATAATTAAGGAGAACATCCCCAATCTGGCAAAGGAAATAGACTTCCAGGAAATCCAGGAAGCTCAGAGAGTCCCAAAGAAGTTGGACCCAAGAAGGAACACACCAAGGCACATCATCATTACATTAGCTAAGATTAAAACGAAGGAGAGAATCCTAGAAGCAGCAAGAGATAAGGGGACAGTCACCTACAAAGGAGTTCCCATCAGACTGTCAGTGGATTTCTCAAGAGAGACCTTACAGGCAAGAAGGGGCTGGAAAGAAGTATTCCAACTCATGAAATCCAAAGACCCACAACCAAGATTGCTCTATCCAGCAAAGCTTTCATTTAGAATGGAAGGGCAGAGAAAGTGCTTCTCAGATAAGATCAAATTCAAGGAGTTCATCATCACCAAGCCCTTATTTTATGAAATGTTAAAGGGACTTATCTAAGAAAAAGAAGATAAAAAAGATGAACAGTGAAAGGACCGCAAACTCACAGTTACTAACAACCACACCTAAAACAAAAGCAAACTAAGAGGACAGCTAGATCAGGAGTGAACCATAGAAATGAAGATCTCATGGAAGGTTAGCAACAGGGGAGTGGGAGAAGGAGAAGGGGGGAAAAGGTACAGAAAATAGGCAGCATAGATGGTAGGTAGGAAATAGCGCAAGAATAGTATGGGAAATATAGAATCTGAAGAACTTGAGACACGTGGTCATAAACTAAAGGGGGGAATGGTGGGGGAGGGATATGCAGGGTGGAGGGGAATGAAGGGGGGGAACAGAACAACTAATGGCATAATCAATAAAATATATATTTTTTTAATTAGAAAAAAATAAAATATTTTTAAAAAGAATTCATAAAGCTCTCAGTGGGTAAAGATAAAAACGAGTTGTGTTTTGGAAATATTCCAGTTTGCCCCATGCTATTAACATGTTATTTTAGGACTCCACTTCTTTGGTCCCATCTTTACCTGAGTATTGATAATCACAGCGGCCGCAGTTAACAAGTATTCATAAAGGTCTCCACACCAGAATAAACACATCTTATTCTTCCCTTTCATTTAAGACCACCCTGTGAAGTAGGTTCTAGCATTATGCTGGCATCATTTCACAGATGAAAAGGGAAACTCAGGAAATTACTTGCACAAAGTCACAAAATGGCAAAACCAAGGCTTAAAGATGTTTGCAAAGTCCATGCACTTAACTCCTGAGCCACCTGGTAACCTGATAGACCCCAGTATACCTGGGATGTGCGACTGTGTCAGCAAGAGAAAGGAGAAAATAAAAGGTTTTGCTTTCATCAACATTCAAACTTGGAAAGGAAGTAAACGTGTCATAAAAAAATTCGGATAAAACAAGAATGGCTACAACAGAAATGCCAAACTCATGCTTTCTTAGTGCTGCGCCCTCTGCTTTTCAAAGCGTCAGCAGTCCCCTTTCCCTATTCCAGGGGCTGCTGTCAACCTGGAGGTGGCGCTGGCAGCAGTTGCCTGTGACTTCACTTTAGCAGGCTATAAATTCCCCATCCCTAAAATCACAGTACCACCCTCTGGGTTTTACCCCAATAAAGGAAATTAAGCATCTCATCACACCAATAGAGGGCAATGTTGCTGTTCTTCAGAATTATAAACAGACTGATTGTTTTCCTTCATCATGCCAGCTAAATGCTAACTGAAGGATGAGGAGATTCAGAGTTGGCACCAGCTCTACCTCCCAGATGAGGTCCCGTAGTTCTCCCTGGCACCTCCCAAAATGCACGACTTCATCTCAGCATTTAGCTCTGCCTTGTGCACACAGCTCATCTTCCATCAATGTGCACAGAGTGCTTAGTCACTGGGCTCCTTTTCACAGCGAGGTCTGAGTTTGCCTCAGTGTTACTGATTTGAAAGACTGACCCACAAAAAGGTATTTTTCCAAAGCCTGTACAGCGTGCATGAATTACTATTATAACCAGGAAAACCCAAATAAACATTACTCCACAACAGCCGTATCTAGCTTCTTTTGTGCTCACTATCTTGTCTCCCCCATCTTCAGAGCTGACTTCACCTCAAACTATTTTTCTATCACCTCCTTCATTGTGTTACCTACCAGGGCATAAACTAAGCTTTGTAGAGGAATGGTTATGGTAATGCTGACAATTTTGGTTTATCTGAAAGGGAAAAAAAGTATACATACCTACCATGTGCCAGACCCTTATGTAAATAAATCATTCAGTCTGCAAAACAAACTGCGGAGGTAGTCACCATCTCAATTTCACAGCAGAGGAAATGGAGGCTCAGTTATAAGGCAACAGTTCCCAAGGTCGCCCCTGTTTTCCTGGGTTAGACTTGGAACTTTGACCAAGTTTTCCTGACTTGACTGTTTCTACCCTATCAGAATGTACCATTTAAGTTAGGAAGATCTACCTTTGTAATATTGTTTCAGAATAGGTAAACATTCTGAAAAAATTAAGTGCTTAAGACTTTTTGCTTAAAAGAAATTAAATTGAATTGCTTGAAAATAAAGTTACCTCCTAGTTCAACAATTTCACAATATGCTTTTACTTTAAAAAAAAGATTTTATTTATTTATTTTTAGAGAAA